TCCTCCCTCACGGGGTGCCTCCCTCAGGGTATGTCAGCCCGCCTGGGAAAGCCACCGGCCAGCGGATGCCGCAGCCAACGTCCGCCCTGTTCGGGGGACCGCCTCAGGTTCCGAGAGGGTGCCAGGGCGGGGACTCCATGCTGGACAGCCCGGAGATGATCGCCATGCAGCAGCTGTCCTCCCGCGTCTGCCCGCCGGGCGTGCCTTACCACCCTCGCCAGCCGCCCCCGCCGCACCTCCCCGGGCCCTTTCCCCAGCTGGCTCACGCTGCCGCCACCAGCCTGCAGCCCCCAAAGCCCCTCCTGGGCAACGGGAGCTCGCAGGACCCGACCGCTCAGACCATGGAGCCAGAGGGCAACCAAGGTAACACCTCCAGCACCCACTAGCCAGCACAGCAGCCCCTGCCCGTGGCGTTTGATCTCCCGTGCCTGCATCTGTTGTCTGCATCCCCCTGCCTGCTTTTCTTGCATCCCTCCCACCTGCTGCACGGTGCTGCCATTTCCCATGCCAGGGCAGGCCCCCTGCCTGCTGGGGTGCGTTTGCAAGGAGGGCAAGGGAGCACCCCCAGGCCAGCTTTGTTGCTCTTGGGCTGCAAACTTGTAGGGTCCCAAACCTTAACTGTCATGCAGATGCTCAAAACCTGTGTATGCAAGCATGGCTTTATTTGTGCCTTTTATTTGAGGTGGAAAATATGCCCTGACTTTCAGGCTTACTTTTCAAGAGTCAATTTTAAACACTGTCTGAGGCTCAGTAAGAAAAGCAGGGTTATTTTCTAGAAAACAATTAAATTGTTGAGGAAATTGTTTTGGGACATGCCTTTTTTATGCAGGTCTTTTTTTAATCTGAAGTGGAACATATTTTCCACTCCAGCAATCACAATTTTCTCGGATTGTTTTGTTTCTCTGCAGCCTGCCAAGGGTCCCCTCTACCTGCACCCTATCAGTTTGCCATGGGGTGCAAATGCAAAGCACAGGCTGCGATGCTTCTAGAGTTCACTTGGAGTTAATAAAAAAGTTTGGATCTGCAGAGACTTAGGCAAGGGAAGATGATGTTATGTGATGAAACGTTTTAAATATACTCCTTTGAGCATGTATCAGTACGGCTTCTCCACTGAAATGCACGGGTGCCTGGAGAGCTCTCAACATTTCAAAAACTTGACACAACAGGACTGCCTGAAAGCCCCTGAGCAGCCGTGTCAGTTCAGGTGGGATGGCAGCGTGTTGTATATGCCACTGCAAGTTTCTTGTTGAATTTCATTCCTTCTAGCTGGTAAACTAGAGATCAAAAAAAAACAACAAAAAACCAACCTTAAAAATAAAACAAACTCACAGTAGAGATCAAAAAACCCCAGAGATCAAAAAAAATTTTCTTTTTCATTAATTCTAGCTGGTAAACTAGAGATCAAAACCCTTGCATCTTTTATCGATCCCTCGTGTGCCTTGCACTGAGAGGAAACTCTTTCCTTGTGTGGCATTGCTTAAAAGTCATCATCATTTAACTGTGCTGGATATAGAACAGAGACTGGGGGAGGACACTGAGTGATTGCAGGGCAGAGTAGCTGCATCTCCAAATCACAGTTGGTTCAAATATGGCTGCAAACAGTCCTGCAGCATCTTGGTGTGTGGTAGCATTTCTGCCCAAGCTGTGGGCAAGTGGCATTTGTGTACCAGAAGGGGCAATGCAGCCTGAGTTCAAGCTGCATTACCCTGGCTTCTTATCTTGCTGCCATGTGGACCCCACCATGGTATTTCCCAACTCAGCCTCTCCATGAGGCAGCCTCTGCACATCCATTGTCAGACCAAACCCACATGTGCAGCGTTGCTCCAGGGGAGGTGGGATGTACCAGTGCCTTGCACATTACAGCGCGCCTGTATCTTGAGGGTTCAGTCCACATATGCCATCTTTCCCATGGAGGTGCAACCTCATGAGCAGTTTTTAAAAGAGGTCTTTTAAAAAGAAGCAGCTACTAAATGCAAAAATGCACTTCAGAACTGCTAAAGGCCTCTTTGAAAGGAAGATGTTGTGATGGGTGTGGGAGGGAGGCTGTAGCCCCATGAAAGGGCAGTTTACTCCAACAGGTCTTTAGAGATGTTTGAGTAGAGTACAGGATATTGTGGGCTTTGGAATATGTACTTTGAAGTCTTCAGTGGAAGGACCTTATGGCTTTAGGAAATCACTCCTTTTTCTCTTCCATTTGCACAGTCCATAAAGCAGACTGCTTTCTCCATGCAGATGGTAGGGACTTGTAAAACCCAGCAACTTTGGGTCAGTAGCAAAATAGGGTACTGAGAGGCTACTTCAGTAGACCTGGTTAATCTGGCAGGAATTGGTCTTTGGCATGTCTGTTTTGGATGAGCACAAGTAGGTGTCTCTATCAAGTGGGGAGAGCTGATTTCCAAAATTAGACCCATATGTGACCTTTTTCCCCCTTCCTTTTCAGTGGAGCTGCCAGCAGATGTGGACGAGAAGGCTCAGTGTATCGGCATTC